CCACGTTCCATGCCCCCGACCCGACCAGTACCGGCCCCACGTTCCATGCCCCCGACTCGGCCAGTCCCCGCTCCGAGACTCTCAGCCATGACCCCGACGCCCCCAGTCCCCGCTCCGAGACTCTCAGCCATGACCCCGACGCCCCCAGTCCCCGCTCCGAGACTCAGGCTCCCTCCCTCCCATCCCATGGTCCTCTCCCACCCTCCCGTTGGTGATTTGAGGGCCGTCTGGGATCCGGCCCTTGAGGGGGGGGCTATGGGGGGGGCTGAGCCGCCGCCGACTGCGAAGGTGTTCCGTGTCCCCGAGCTGGAGCCGACTACGGAGGTGTTCCGTGTCCCCGAGCTGGAGCCGACTACGGAGGTGTTCCCTGTCCCCGAGCCGACGCCGACAACCGCGGAGGTTTCCAGTGTCCCCGAGCCGACGCCGACTACCCCGGACGATTCCAGTGTCCCCGAGCCGGAGCCGACTACCCCGGACGTTTCCAGTGTCCCCGAGCCGGAGCCGACTACCCCGGACGTTTCCAGTGTCCCCGAGCCGGAGCCGACTACCCCGGACGTTTCCAGTGTCCCCGAGCCGGAGCCGACTACCCCGGACGTTTCCAGTGTCCCCGAGCCGGAGCCGACTACCCCGGACGTTTCCAGTGTCCCCGAGCCGGAGCCGACGACTGCGGAGGTGTTCCGTGTCCCCGAGCCGGAGCCGACGACTGCGGAGGTGTTCCGTGTCCCCGAGCCGGAGCCGACGACTGCGGAGGTGTTCCGTGTCCCCGAACCCGAGCCGACGACTGCGGAGGTGTTCCGTGTCCCCGAACCCGAGCCGCCGCCGACCCCAGAGGTTTCCCGTGTCCCCAAGCCTGCCATTCTAGAGACGTTCCGTGCCCTGCAGTCGCCGCTCCGGAGCCGGCTTGGTGACCGCCCGCCGGGCCGACCCCCAGAGGCTCCCCGCTCGTCTGGCCACCCACCGGGCCGCCCGCCAGAGTTTCCCGGGTGGTCCGACCAACGTCTCTGGTTTCCCTGCCCCCCCACCCCTTGTTTTGCTCTAGTGTGAGCCGCCTGGAAGTCGGTCCTTGAGGGGGGGGTACTGTCACGGTGTGGTTTCACTTCCTGTTGTATTTGTAGTTTTCTGCCACTCGTGTCCCCGGGTAACTTCACTTCCTGCCTTGTCCCGTCATCCCCTGTGATCGTCTAATAGTTTCCACCTGTGTCCAATCACCTGCACCTCCCTTGTGTATTTAAGCCATGTGTCTCCTGTGTCACTTGTCGCGTCATTGTCTTTAGCCACGCATGTCCTGTCTTTGTCTTGGATGCCCATAGTTTCTCGTCTGTGTGCTTTTGCTCCCGGTTCCTGTGTTTTTTGACCATTGACTATTAAAGTCCTTTGTGTTCCTGTTTGAACTCTGCGTTTGAGTCCTGCCTCCCACCCGCACCTTGACATATCCAGTCAGTCACTGCAGGCATCATTTTGAAAAGAAAACGATGCCGACAAAAGCGCTTCTCTGGACTTTGACAAAACTAAATCGGTTGCCTAGTTACCGCAACACCTACCTAACGGGGACTATTGTTTTCGTCAATTTTGAGTGTGTGCCTCTTCAGCTATAAGCAGCAAATGTTCTTTCAAACTCGTCTGTCAAATCACCCACCAACCCCTCCCTCTTCCTTCGCTCAGACAACCTCATTAAGGCTCACTATTGATTTCACCTCCTTTGACCCTTTTCTCTCCGTAAAACATTCTCAGTACCATAAAAACCCGCTGCAGTCTCGCGGGACTATAAACAGGACCGGAGGGAGGCAAATTCCCCTTCTTGCGTTTGAGCTTATGTGACCTGTATCAGGTAGAGTTTTGCTTCCTTTAGCCCATTAACATCCAATTTTCCAAGCGGTCGGTCACATGTCGGCATTTGTCCGCGAGGGAGTGAGTGGGCTCTTTGTAACGTAACTGGTGCCCAGTGGGCAGTAACGTGATGACTGGTGTCTTGACTAGCAGTTCAGAACATCTGTGGGTTGTTTTCATTCGACAACAACGTTCCAGCTATTTCAGGAAGATATAACACAGAGTACTAAACAATCTTTCTACATTGTTATTGTTGTTATCCATTAGAAAGAACATATTATTAATATGTGGAAATACGTTTCTGTCCGTCGCGCATTCAACAACATTAGATATTGGAAACATGGCTTCCAAGAGAAAACTTAAAGGAAAAGGAATGTTCCCACAAGATCCAACCTGACATATCAGCAGTGAGCAAACACGAACACAGCTCTTTCTTGCATTAGCAACATTCCAACAGGATGAGCTTCTAAACCTGTTCCTTTCGGATACAGCAATAATGTACGGCGATAGCAGAACTTTACAGAATTTAAAAAAAAGCCTCACTGTGATGGATTGAATACAAATTCAACTAGTTTCAGGTTGTACTATCTACTGCAGTGAAATGAATTGGACCTACGGTGCGGTTGGTGGATGCTCCGGAGTGCTTTTCAGATGTTTGGCTGCTTAGGGGATCAGAGGCTAGAGGTCATCCTTCCCCCTGACACTGTTTTCAAGCCAGCACACACTCAAGCAACCCTGAGACCCTTTCATCTGTTGTCCCACCAAACTATACATTTGAACAAACATGCCTGCAGTGAGACACCAGGATCTCCTCTTGCTTCTAATACAATCAATCATCAAGTGCTTTGCACCGCTGGCTTCAATACTTATACCAATTATGCAAATGGTTAAAATGGGCAAAGGGAGAGCTGTGCAACGGCAGCTCCGGCCCACTCCACTCGGGGCTCTCAGCCAGAGATCAAAGCAGCACAAGCTGCTCATGTTTATAGTCATGAGGTAGGATTTTTACCAATATAAAACTTTCCACTAAAGCACCCGGCATTTAATAAGCCATTATAAAACA